ATTCGAACCCGCCACCTTAGGAGTATGTGGCTGGCGCCTTAGCCACTTGAGCCACAGGCGCTGAGCCCAAAGTATGTTTCTTAACGAACCTTTACATCTCTTGGGAAAGAGATCATCACATGTTTTGGGAACTCTTTCCTTAAATTTACAAATGGAATTCATACTGATGTGTATGGTCACAAAATACATCAGGCATGATTAGAACACTTCCGTACACACAATCGTTTAACACTTAGGAACCAGAAATCCATCGCATTGGGCTGATTAAACATCTGAGATTTGGAAGTTATCTTGGGAGGCTATGAGAGGAATCGGATGATCTCTTTTGTTCCTCTGTCAGAGAAATTTACTTAGATTTTTCTGAAAGGGGAGTTGAATAACCAGGAATCATTTGCCTCTTTGAGAAAATGTTTCTTTCCAATATCAGAGGCCTCTCACTTTTCTTTTTTGTATGGTGATTATTTAGAGTTTATCCAATAAATGCTTTCTCACAGAGGGCAGAAATTGTTTCATAAAGAGTCATTTTGTCGTTTCTTACGAGTCTAATAAACCCACCCTCCCCTCCTCCACTGGCCCAGTTCACAGTGCTGTGTGACGTCCACTCTCCATGCTGCCATGCTGAGTGGTGATGGATGTAATTTGCTAAGAGTAGGAACTAAACCATTGGCTTATTCAGAGGTTGGTTATGTCAACCATCCGGAGAAACATGGAGGTTCCTAATGCAGGGTGACAGTCATCACCAGTCACCCAGGGCAGGGACCCACTCATTCATTCATTCACTCACTGAACACATGGGAATAGCTTACTTTGCCCCAGGAGTATGAGGACAGACATGATTGTGAACAGGCCCATTCCTGGTGGCTGCACCTCAGGGCACAGCAGAAGTGCCCTAAAGCGCCAACTCCGGGTCACCGCAGGACACACAGGGAAGGCTCCAGACAGATCCTGCAGGAAGGGCCTTCATTCGCAGGGTGGAGGGGGAGGCCAGCTGTCCCAGCAGAGGAAATAGCAGCAGAGAAGCTGAAGACAACAGAAAGGGAGTGGACAGTCTGAGCCCTCACTCTCCGATGTGCTGGGAGAGGCCCTCGAGGGACAGACAGAGGGACTTCCACAAAGAGCTGTGGGCCGGGCTGAGAAGTTGGAATTCTGAGAAGCCAGACAGCAACAGCAGAGAGGTGACAGCTACTCTGTAGCTGCCCTTGGGGAGTGGCGAGCTGTGGGGGGATCCAAAGGCAGAGGACAGAATGGAGATTTCCCCCCCAGTCTACGGGAAAAGGCAGGGACAGGGGAAGCGGCGGGACTTGGGCGACAGGGGATGTGTCAAGAAGGATCCCATATTTTAAAATGACAGTTATGCCCTGCATTCAGGTAAAGCAAGGGAGCCAACAACCTGTTTTTGGTGAGGGGGTTTTGAGCTTGATTTTGAATGCACTTCGCTAAAGACAAAGTCTTATGTTTCCTGGGCACCTGGCAGAACACTGTGGTGAGACGTGAGCAGCTGACCCAGGGCCTGTCTTGAGAGAGGAGTTTATCAGAGAAGACCCACTGCCTTCAGAGCTGGGCGTGGAGGTGGAACTGGACTTGCCTCATTTGGATCTCTCTTTCCTTCTTCCTTCCCTTTTAAAAGTAACTGCAGTTCAAAGGCGAAAATGACTTTAAGATCAGAGAAGCCACCTTAGCACTAGTCCCCTACCCGTTGTCCGTGCATTGGTGGAGAACCCGTTCCTGGGCCGGGAGTCTCGGTCTCACACTGCCAAGTCCTTGGGCTCGTCCGGAGTCAGCTTCATCAGTTTGTCCACACAGAGCAGGATGAGGGTGAGAAACCAGAGACTCCAACCCACAGCCGCCGCGATCCAGCCGTGCTCGTCCACTCCAGCGTGGCAACACCGGGCTGCATGTGGGCAGAAGTCGACGTCTGAGGGAGAGACAGGGACCATCAGGTCATTAATAGGAACAAGGACCACAAGAACACAGTGGCTGCCACTGATGAGCACTGAGCTGGTGCCTGCCCCGTGCTGAGCGCTTTACATGGCAGCGTTCACTCTGACTAAGTGGTGGGTACCACTCCCCTTCCTGGTTTATATGAAGAAACTGAGGCTGCGACTTGTCCAGTGTCACAAGGTGGCAGAAGTAAAACTCAAATCCAAGTCTGCAAGACTCCAAACCATATTCTCAATCTCTGCACATTCCTGCCTATTACCCTTCTTTTTAAGTGCCCATAAGTTAATTCAGTGAGGGCAAGATAAAGGGAGCCAGACACGATCAGGCAGAACTCTCTACTAATTACACACGCGTACCAGTGGTTGCTCTATAAATTTCTGAGCTCCTTGCTTTTGGAAATACTCAAGAAGGGGAAAAACAGAAATATACAAAGGGTACCAAAGCCAAGCTCCCCTCCTGGGCACAAGATGGACTAGCTGTCTTTTATGGCTTTTGAACCTTAAAACTTCTTCAAGCATTTAAATCCAGGGTACCTTGGCTGCTAACCTGGGCATGAGTCATTCAAGCCACCTGTGCCAAAGACTGTGCACCAAACAGATCAAAGCCAAGACAGTTTTCTCAACCTTCTCTGCAAGCAGTTCTGGGTTGAATCACACCAGTGCACAGGAAGGCCAGGCAGGCACGCAGCCACCTGACACCAATCAACAGAAAGCAAAGAGGGACCAGTATTTCCCTCCCAGATCCTGGACAGCTCTGGGGCTGGGGTGGAGATGCTTACTGGGGCATTCCTCCAGGGTCCCAGCATCTGGGTGGTGGCCAGTCAAGCCCGAGCTGTTGCTGCTGCTTGCTTCTGGAAGAAAAGACAGGAAATATTCTCAGGCAATGGGAAAACTGTTCCCAGACACAGAGTTTATAATCTTTTGTGTAAGTCCGTAGTATTATGCAAATGTAGCTCTGGAATAGGTATGTTGAGTCTTCAGGCAACAAAGCATAAATTCAGTCCCTGTTATGGATTGAATTGTGTTCCCCTGTCACCCAGATTCATCTGTTGAAGTCCTAACTTCAGGCCGGGTACGGTGGCTCACACCTGTTATCCTAGCATTCTGGGAGGTTGAGGCAGGTGGATTGCTTGAGCTCAGGAGTTCAAGACAAGCCTGAGCAAGAGTGAGACGCCATCTCTAAAACTGGCCGGGTGTTGTGGCAGGCGCCTGTAGTCCCAGCTATGTGGGAGGCTGAGGTAAGAGGATCTCTTGAGCCCAAGAGTTTGAGGTTGATGTGAGCTATGATACCATGGTACTCTACCCAGGGTGACAAAGTGAGACTCTATCCACAAAAATAAAATAAAATAAAAAGAAAATTAAACTTTAGACAAGGAAGTCCAGAGATTGCTAGACTATGTAGCACTAAGAATTGTCCCTTGATTCATAAGCAAGGAGCAGAAAGATTAAAAATAAATTTAGCAGGAATTCTGAAACTTCCATTAATTTGTAGGGGTGGAGTTAAGGATATGAGGAAGAAAAGCCATTCCCTACACAGCCTCCCACAGCTGTTAAAGGCTCAGAGAGGACCCAAGCCCATACTGTCTTATACTAGTCATTTGAGGCTATTTAAATTTATTAAAATTGATCACATTGGCCACATTTCAAGTGTTCTAACTGTCACATGTGGAAAGCGGCTGCCATTTGGAAATGTCCGCAGCTTTGGGACATTTCCTCCCTCAGTGAAAATTCAGTGCCAATGCTGATCTAGATAGATCAAAACCACGTGAACCTTTCTAGAAATTACATTGCTGTTCAATCTGCTTCTTTGGAAACACAAAAAGAAAAAGAAAAGGTTTAAAAACTCTCAAGGCCCTCCTGGCTATAGGTCAGCATGTCCTTCAGCAGTGCCTGTTGTCACACAGCTGGTGGAGTTTGGAGGAAAACTATTTTTTAGCTAGAACCATGAAATTACCATTCCAACTAATTTGATGCCACCCAACCCCCAAGCTGCTCCAAAGTCCTGCTTAAAGTATAGTAATTACCTTGATGCAATCTACTACTGTAAATTATTTACAACTAAATGGCTTGGAGGTTGGTCCTGATTTGTTTTGGAGAAATTGATTCCTCACCATTTTAATTTTCCTTGTGACTCAAATAACTTCCTTGGCCCTGACTTTCATCTCACCTCTACGCTTGCCATGCAAACGGTCTTCCTCCAAAGCAAGCAGGTGGAAAAAACCTGGTGAACTGACGGCTACTGTTGGGTTAAACTGTATGAAGTTGCCCTTCTTATAGTTCGAAAACTGCACAGTATCAGCAATTGTATATGGTTTGAATGGAATAGCCCAGATGGAATTCTTAGGAATTTAAGCATCACCGTCCTCCCTTCTAAGCACAGCCAGCCAGCCAGGGCCCCACCTGGAATCACTTACAAGGGGCAGGTTGCTGGGAAGACCCAGCAGTTCAGTGCAGTTAAATTTGTTGATTTTTTTCTTTTTTTACACCTTTGTCATAAGCAAGGCACTGTGAGGGTAAACAGAAAGAAAGTAAACACTCTTATTTGGGGAGGGGTGAAGTTGGGAAATAAGACCAATGTGCTAACCATAACTGCTGACGTCCATCGCCTGTTTACTACGTGTTATTTTTAAGTTCTCGGCATGAAATCATACCGTTTCTGCTTTATAACAACCCTATAAATGAGCACTCCGAGTATCCTCAGGTGATAAACGAGACGATTGGACACAGAGAGGTGAGCACTTCCCTTAAGGTCACACAGTGGTAAGTTGGGGGAGCCGGAGTTGAGGGGCCCAAGAGCTGGTGCTCTGAACCTCCCCACTAGGCCACCTACAGGAGACACTGAGGGTGAGAGAGGGAGAAAGAAACTTTTGGGGGCCTGTCAGGGAGCAGGGCAGACAGTGCTCTGAAGAAGCTGAGGCCAAGATCAAAGCCAGGAGCATGAGATTGTAACCAATGTCCCTCTGCCATGAGGTGCAGAGCCCAGACCAGCAGAGCAGGACATGAGACGCAAACCAGCCCTCTGGCCTCCGTGAGAAGATGGGCTGACCCAGCATGTCCAGTGCCCTGGGAGGAAGGAGTGTGGGAGACAGTGGATGACAGCTTTTGGGGTGGGTGGGTTTTGAGAAGGTTGTGGAGGCAGCTCTGGGGGCTGGGAGGGACAGAGGACCTTAGGGGCAGGGCTGGTAGACAGGAGTGTGAACAGGGAGGACCCAGGGACGCTGAGAAGGAGTCTTCCAGACACAGCTGATCAAAAGATGCAGTTTCAGGCCAGTGTGGTCCCCTGATGGGTGAGACTCTGGCCAGTTGCTTTTTCTTCTCTCCCTGTGGCAGAGGCCAACAGAGGCTGCTGCTCCTGTCCTAACTGAGAGTTGAGTATTTGATTTCGGTCTTAGGCAAACCCACGACCCCCCCAGCCCCCACCTAATCCATCAGATGAGAAAGTTTCCTCTTTCCTTTGTGCAGGACCAACCCTGGCCAAGGAATCCTCACCCTCCCCTTCTTACCCTCCCACCTCCTTCCCTCCCCCTTCCCTGCAGGGGCCAGAATAAAGCTCACAACTTTACCTGCCCAGCAAGCCCGGTGGACAGAAGCGCAGGCCAGGCTGAGGAGCAGGGCGGCCCAGGTGGCGGAGGTGAGGGGCTGCATGCTGGCCAGGGAGGTGCGCCGGGTGCCCCGTGCCATGTGGGGTGTGTGCCCTGCGTGGCCACCTCGCTACCAGCCCGTGGGAGCTGGAAAACAACTCTGCCAGAGGTGAACTTCTGTCTGTGTTTGGGGGTGGAGCAAAGGAAACTTCATCTGTCACACCTCACCTCTCTGGAAGGGAAGCCACACTGTTGGCTGAGGGGAGGAAAGGGGGGCAACTCCTACCCTTCTCCCCTGAGCACAAATTTTGCCTCTTTTGAGAAGAAAGGGGAGGAGAGGAGTGGAGACTGGTGTCCTACTGGTTCCTTGTGGATTGCCGCTGTCTCTGCAGGAGTGGCATGATGCCCTACTCCATTCAGCCTAGGATTTGCTGAGCACCTACTGTGTTCACGGCTCCATGCTAAAGTCTGGACAGCCCTGCTGTCCAAATGCTTTTGTTACAATCACACATTCTCACCCCTGGAGTAGTGTTTCAGGAATGACTTGGGAAGGACAAAGCACTTCGGGTTTTAGAGCAGGGGGCCCCTTCTGCTAGTGGAAGACTTTATGAAGAAAGCGACGTCTGACTTATCTTGAAGGATGGATAGAATTTTGACAGCCGTAGAGGGGAAAGGGCATTGCAGGGAGAAGGGACAGATGAGCAAAACCCAGAGGTCAAAGTGGTGCTCAGAGGTCCACTGTGACTGCAGTGCAACCAAGCACAGATGAGGGAAACAGGTTTGGGGCCTGAGGTGCGGGTGGGGCGTTTGAAAAGAAGGGAAGGTTTTGTGAAGATTCTAGGCTGAGTAGTAACTTGATTGGGGCTCTGGCTTCAGTTATTGAATACCCACTGCATATATGAAAGGCACCATCCTTGGTGTTTGAGATCAAGATGACTGAGACATGGCCTCCCCCCTTGAGGACAGCCCAGTCCAGCAGTGGGACCAGGCCATGAAGAGAGCCGTGTGATGCATGGAACAAGACACAATGTGGAGATCTTCCCCTGTCTAAGAGGGAGGAATGAGAGCTGCCTGGGGGCCCCGGTGAAGGGTTTGTAGCGGAAGTGACATGTTGTTGTGTGTAGGTGGGAGGTGATGGGCTTTCCAGGTGAACGGACAGCACATGCACAGGTGAGAGGCTGGTCTGTGTGCAGGCCTGTCACACGTGGATGTGTGGTGCTGAGTGTGAGGGATGGCACTGGCCCTGTGGAAGGACAGAAACCACACATAAGCTCAGGATGAGGCTGTTCTTACCACGGCTGGTGCTTCTACTATAAAAATTTGTGCAAAGGTATAAATTAGTGGTGGCCCTGTGTTCCTGGATTTGAGCAGGAAGTGCTTTAGCAAGGTGTGAGCTTCGGGCAGTGCACACAGATCCAGTTTAGGCTGCCACTGGTGGAATGTTAAATAGTCACCAAATGGCCGCCATGTGCCCGGGTGAGTAAGACCATACAGTTCTGCCAAGGTCCAGGGAGGAAGGTGGACAAATAATGACAATGTGATGGAACAAGTGTGGTGAGGAGGTCACAACAAAGAATGGGGAGATCATGGAAGAGGGCTGGGAACTGTACTAGAGGATTCAGAGAACATTTCACCATGGACGTGTAGTCCCCAGGCCCAGAAGCAGGGAACTGTGCATGCCTCAGAGGCATGAACTTGTGCTCCTTAACTGGGGAGTAATAAATGATTTACTTTCCTGGGGGAGGTGGGCTGGGGTCCCAGTTTGTCTAGTTAGACGAAGAACAGATTGGAAGTGGTCCTGAATGCCACACAGAGGAAACTGGGGTGCCATCTATAACGTGGATCTATTTGTATTTCTGAAATATGGAGGTTTGATCTGAGACCCACAGGCCTGGATTCAGGGAGATCACCTGATACAAGATGCTATTGCAAAAGGCTTGTCACAGATCATAAGGGCCTTGAAAGAAGTTAGACTGAGGATGGACAAGAGGAGGGATGATGTAGGAGGCCACATCAACTGAAGGGAAGTCAGGAAAGGCAACCAGGATGAAGGCAAAGTGTCTAGTGGGGCATGAAGTGAGTGGCTGCGGAGCCACCTCGGGACTGAATTTTAGCCCTGCCTCTTACTGGCTGGGTGGCCCTGGACAAGTTACTTAATACTTCCAAGCCTCATTTTCCTTATCTGAGCAGTAATAGGACAGTAGTTTTTATTGCAGAGGTTGTGAAGACTTAAAATGATCCACATAAAGCCCTTTGCTCACTGTAATAGGTGACAAGTCCTATACTCAGTAAATGTTGGTCACTTTTTTAAAATAAGAGTCATAATACAGGGTGGCGCCTATGGTTCAGTGGGTAGGGCGCTGGCCCCATATATGGAGGGTGGTGGGTTCCAACCTGGCCCCGGCCAGCTAAAATAGCAATGACAACTGCAACAACAACAACAAAAGCCAGGCATTGTGGTGGGCACCTGTGGTCCCAGCTACTCGGAGGCTGAGGCAGAGGCAAGAGAATTGCTTAAGCCCAAGAGTTGGAGATTGCTGTGAGCTGTGATGCCATGGTACTCTGCCCAGGGTGACAAAGTGAGACTCTGTCTCAAAAAAGAACAAAAAGAGTCATAATACATAAGAAATATCTGAGAAAAGGGAGAAAGCATTAAGAAAAAATAATGCTATTTACGTATTGATTTATTTATATCCTACCTTAGTTCACAAAGGGTTTAAGGAAGCTTATCTACAATTAGTAGAGCTAGACAAAATAAATTTAGCCAGGGCTCGGTGCCTGTAGCTCAGTGGTTAGGGTGCTGGCCATATACACTGGGGCTGGTGGGTTCGAACCCAGCCCAGGCCTGCTAAACAACGACAATTACAACAACAAGAAAAAATAGCCGGGCATTGTGGCAGGCACTGGTAGTCCCAACTACTTGGAAGGCTAAGGCAAGAGAATCACTTAAGCCCAAGAGCTGGAGGTTGCTGTGAGCTGTGAAGCCACAGTACTCTACTGAGGGCAACAAAGTGAGACTCTGTCTTAAAAATAAATAAATAAATTTAGCTGGGCACAGTAGCTCCTGCCTGTAATCCCAGCACTTTGGGAGACACAAGGATCACTTGAGGCCAGAAGTTCCAGACCAGCCTGGTAAACAGTGAAACCCTATTACTAAAAAAACAAAACAAAACAAAACAAAAATTAGCCAGGTATGCTGACACACACCTGTAGTCCCAGCTACTAGGGAGGCTAAGCACAGGAGTTCAAGGTTATAGTGATTAAGCCATTGTACTGCTATCTGGATGACAGAGCAAGATCTTATCAGTTAAAAAAATTTTTAAAAATAAATTTAAAATAAATGTGAAGAAATAAGGCAAACAAATTTAGAGTAAGAAATATAAGATGGGTGATGAGCAAACTTACAGTACAAAATGCCATGTGCGTTTTCTTTTCTGCTTTTTGACCATGTGTGTTTTCTAAGCTTTCTGATAGACGGTGTGAACAGAATAACATGATCACATACGTGACTCATGGCTGAAAAGATAAAAACAGGAGGAGAGGCACAACTGCTTTTGAAACAAAAACCAGAAAGGAATTTTTTCAGTCAGACCCCACAGACAGGACATTGCTTAACAGAATGAACACAGCGCTCAGTATTTGCCCCACAGCAAACCCCATGGTGAACTTCACAGGGCGTTACTGATTTATCCAGAAGACACTAGAGATAATAGCAGTGCCTGGAATTTTCAAGGGACTTAAAAATGCCTGAGACCTGAAAAAATTGTACTCAGATCCAAAATACGAACAAAGACAAAAAAGCTGGGCAAGATAAATCATTCCTTCAAAAGCAAAGTTTATGCTTCATTTCAAACGGTTTAAATAGAAACGATTTAATGTGGGATGTCGGGTGCATTTTAATAAGGTTTAATGTGAGCAGAGCACATCCTGTCCCTCCTAAACAGCCAGAGCCTGGGACTTGCAGAGATTAAAATGGCCCTGCCTAGGGTGGTCCTCAGTGGATTGAACAACATTTGCAGCCTAAGCCGGCAGCATCCTATCAGATCATCTCAGAGAAAGCTTTTCTGGGAAGCTGGATGTGCAGGGGAAGGGTAATGTTTTGCCCCTCCTTCCCTTTTTATCATTGTTTTTTGATTTGAGACTATTTTAGAGGAGCTGTTTGCAGGATAAACATTCTCTTATCAACAGATGGGAAGGACTTTGTTATCCTAAAATAGGACCAGGCCACTGATAACTGGTTAATTCCCAAAGAAAGGGTTGCAAGGTAACTGGCTTACAAGTGTTACCAGTATCAGCTGTTTTCAACAGGCCCCCACCTAATAACTCGGTGGGGCCAGTTTCCTCACTCAGTGACCCTCTCGTTCATTCTGTGGCAGGTTTACTTTGGAGGGTGTACCAGGAAGTCAATTGCTCAAAGCTAGATGTTCAGAGGGTACTTTCTTAAGACTTCTTTTTTTTTTTTTTAAGAGTTGACATAGGTATTTGGTTACACTTACCTTTTTAAAAGTTCAGGCTAAAATGTGGGCAGGCTCCATGGTGGTGTCTAGGGTGGGGTGTCCTAGAGGATGGGGCTCCAGGCCCCTCACTGCCTCCAAGTTTTATCTGTCGTCTTGATAAGGTTTTGTTTGAAAAAGAAAAGAAGGGGACAGAGTGTTTTCAGCAGTCCGTGGTCTGGAATGGCCAGGATCTCTGGCAAGAATACTTTTATCTGGCTCGGCGCCTGTGGCTCAAGTGGCTAAGGCACCAGCCACATACACCTAAGGTGGCGGGTTCGAATCCCCAGCCCGGGCCCGCCAAACAACAATGATGGCTGCAACCAAAAAATGGCCAGGCGTTGTGGCGGGCGCCTGTGGTCCCAGCTACTTGGGAGGCGGAGGCAGGAGACTCGCTTGAGCCCAGGAGTTGGAGGTTGTTGTGAGCGTGATGCCACGGCACTCTACCCAGGGGGACAGCTTGAGGCTCCGTCTCAAAAAAAAAAAAAAAAGAATACTTTTATCTGACAGAAGCTTCTCTTTGTGATTCTGATGGATACTTTTACCACCTGTCCATCTCCACCAGCCTTGG